TTGAATCTGACAACATTCAGTTGAAGGATAATCTCACCTATGAAATGGTCCCTTTGAGGATTGATGACAAAAGGGTTAAACAGTTGAAATGAAAGGAAATCCGTTTGGTTAAGGTCGTTTGAGGAGGAAATATCGAAGAAAGTGCTACATGGGAATTAGAAAGCAAGATGCAAGAAGCCTACCCATTTCTATTTTCAGGTAAATTTCGGGGACGAAACTTCAAAAAAAGGGGGAGAGTTGTAACAATTTTTATAAATTATATTAAGGTATTTTAGAAATTATTTTAATATTTAAATGTATTTATTTGAGTTTTAATATTATTTAATTCCTTATATGAACTCTATTTTATTTATGAAACATGATTTGTTATTACCAATTATAGTTAGTGAAGCAGGAGACATTTTATAAAATGTATTTTATTAATATGTACGCTTATATTTATGTTGATTATTAAAGAGGGAGTATATTTTAATTATTATTTATTTTTATGAGAAAAGAAGGAAGCACGTTTTGGTAAATGACAATTTATTATTTATTTATTTATTAAGAAAGAAGTTATCAGGAGTTAGGAAGTTACTTGAGGCTACCAAAATCATTTTACGCTTCTGACTTCATTTTTCTTTCTACGCTCTCTAAAAGCCAAGGAGAACAAGAGAAGGAGATCAACCAGATTCTGCTCAAGCTTCACCTTTTCCTCAACAAGGTAAGGGGAGAGTAAGAAACCTCGCTCGAGGGTTTGGGAATAATTGTTGGGTAGCAGGATTGGCCCCTAATCCCTTGCTTGATGCATGTTTCTAGGAACAGACAAAATATGAATGTTTTTTGTTTTGATGTGTGAGTTTTCTGTTATGTTCCTTGTTGGATGTGATGCGTGAATATGTGTTTAATTTCAAAATTAGATAAGTTTTGATATGAATTAGAGTGCTTTGTGGGTTCTCGTGAGAAATCTTATGAGAAACAATTAGGGATATGATCTTTTGACAAGATTTAAGGTATTTTATGTAAAATTGAGTATGGATTTATGTTCTAGGTGTTATTTGGAGGACTTTTACCGACTGATTTATATGATTACACGTTTGTTGAGAAAAATTGTCTAATTTCAAAGTGTAGGTTTGCACTAAGTGCGCAGCGCGCAGTTCTTTGCACCGGGCACAAATTCATAGTTTCCCAGGAAAAGTTGAGCTGGGCTTAGGAAAGTTGCGTCGGGCGTAAGAAAGTTGCGCCAGGCATAGGAAAGTCATGTCGGGCACATGTGAACCTGCTTCGGGTGGGATTCTCCGCTTTAGGCACGACATTAATTTCGTCGGGCGTGCTCAGGGCACACCGGGCGTGATGCTCCACTTTTGGTGCGGCATTTAATGTGCCAGGTGTGACTTGGGGCACACCGGGCGTGATCCTTATGGTGTTTTATATCTTGTTTGATGGTACAAATTATGTGGGAATTGCCTTATTGCTATGTTAAAGTAAGTGATGTGTTTTATGAGACATGATGTAAAATACGTGCTATTATGAACACTATGACTATGAGAATATGAAACGTGATGAAATGAGATAAAACATGAGATTCCATGACAAGTAAAGTGATGAGTCCATGAAGTGTGAATGTGTGTGACATGCATCATGTGCATCTATGTGAAGTGTACGATATAGAGTACACCGTTAGGGAAGGCCCTCCTTGTGTAACAACTTGGGGGAGTCCTAGGGGATAGTGTGCTTTGGATGTCTCGAATCCACCCGTTTGTGAGCACGAGACGTAACTTGCGCAACTTCGCTATCCCGACCAGACCTTAGTAGTTCATCCTTCTAGTTGAGAGTGTATGGGTAGCTCCCTACATGTTATCCTAGACTACCTTAGGCGTGTCGTTTAAGAAGCACACCAGTGATATGTGATATGTGATTGGCACCACATGCATGCATTTATGAGTCGAGTCCATGACATCATTGCATGCTAAATGAATGTGTATGTGATATTGATTGTGTATGTGTATTGTTTACATGTGATTTGTGCTTGTGACTTGTATTATGTTTTTTGTGTGTGCGTGTTGTCTAACCTTTATTTCTCCACATGAACCTGAGTGAGATGTTTCTCACTCCCTTGTTGTTCTTTGTATGTGTTTAAATTGTGTTGTAGGTGATCATCAACATGAGGATGTTGGTGATGAGGCTTAGGCTTCAGTTGGGCGTGATCTAATAGGATATGTGACATTGGGGCATAGCTAGGCTTAGTTTAGGATTTCATTATTGTTATTTTGTTTCGGAAAATTTCATGTTTCATTTTCTTATAAATTCTGCATTTGACGATGATTTAAGTTTACGAATGTGAATTCTCTACCCTTATGTTAGTGGAACGGTTGATGGAACACTACAAGAAAATTGCGAATTAGGGAGGGAATGATCTTTCACAAATCCCTCGCTAAACAAAATGGCGAGGGACTAGCGAGGGATTTGCAAAGGATTGTTCCCTTGCTAAATTCAACTCGCTAATTGGCGACGGATGCATATCCCTCGCACTTCCCTCGCTACATTCCCTCATTTTTCCCTCGCAAACAGCTTCGCTAGTTCGTTGCAAATTTGTGCCGCTAATTCATCGTTATCGCTTCGCAAATGTAGAACCCAAATTCCCACGCTAATTGAATTTAATATTTCCTCGCTAACACGTCGCAAAACCTTCGCAAGATATCCTTCGCTACTTTGTCCCTACTCCATCACAAAATATTGTTTAATTATTTCCTCGCTAATCTTTCGCCACTCTGTCGCAATTATCCCTCGCGATATTGTCGCTAATTTCACGCAACTCTGTCGTAATATATCAATTGAGGTTCGTCGCAAATCCCTCGCTAACCCCTCGCAAATACCACGCTAGTCCCTCGCGAAACCTTCACAATATATCTTTTGAGTTTCCTCGCTAATCCATTGCTAATCCCATCTAACACCCCAGTTTCTATTTCATTTTTATTTTATTTTATTGAGGGTATTTTGGTAATTTTTATAAATGTATAGGGGTGATTTACTAACTTGGAATGGGCTGTTTCGGAATTGGAACGGGCCGTTCCAAACTACCAAAATGTATGTGAGTTAGTAGCCTAGAACGGGCCGTTCTCAAATTAGAACGGGCCGTTCCGGACTATTAAGAACTGCCTTTAACTCTAAGTGGGAACGGGCTTGGAACGGGCCGTTTCCAAAATATGGCCATTGTGAGTAATAAATACACACTAGAACGGGCTGTTCTGGTTTGAGAACAGGTCGTTCTGGATGTGATTTTTAACCATGATTTAAGGGTCCAGAACAGGCCGTTCTAAATTTGGAAGGGGTCGTTCCGGCGAAGCCTGATGCCTATAAATTGAGCTCTCTGCCACTCCCAAAAAGCACACCTCTCATTTTCTGATTTCTTTTCTTCTACTCTCTCTTCTTTCCCTCTACTTTCTGCTTTAGACCGACGGGAACCCAGCCAGGGAGACCAACCAAATCTTGTGTAGGTTCAGCTTCTACATATCCAGGTACGGAGGAAAAGGGAATTGTTTATATGTAGAATTACATGAGGGAATTAGGTAGAGGAAGAGTCCCTTAGGATTATGAGTAATTTTATAATTATTTCTGTTTGGAGAATTATTGGTCTTATGTGATTCTGTATGAATTTAGGATTATGAATATATATTTAATATGTAAGAATGATGATTTGGGACAGAGAACGAAATTATAGAAAAGTGCCTATAAGTTAGGTTGTGAAAAATTGGATGATTTCTGTTTGAGGAATTGATGATCCCATTAGATTCTGTATGTGTTGAGGATTATAAATATGCTAATAATTTGTAAGAATGATGATCTGGGAGAGAGAACCAAATTGTAGAAAAGTGCCTGTGAGTTAGGTTTTGTAAACCCTAAACCCTAAACACTAATGACTAGGGATGTCACGACCCCTGGGTAAGTGATGCTACAGGGAGGGCGTGACCCTGGCATGGTGTGGGAGGAGTAAGACAGTTAACACGTATCACTTATGTCAAATATGGCAGCCCTGGCATAGGGTTAATTGTAACAGATTGTGTGGTTTGTGATGTGATTGTGGTTCGTCACATCAATGACCAGGGATGGCACGGCCTCTGGGTAAGTGATGCTACGGGGAGGGCGTGACCTTGGCATGGTATGGGATGAGTGAGGCAATTAACCCGTATTACTTATGTCAGTTGTGGCGTGGCCTTGGCATAGTTTTAATTGTAAGATTGTGTGAATTATGAATGTGAAAATGATAATGTTAATTGTAAGATTGTGGATGTTTTAGGTGAGGAAGATCCGGCTTCGAGTGGCATCTAGAATGCCAACGGTTGAATTGTGAGTATGCTCTGATATTTTGACATCGGGGCAGAGAATTTTTAGAACATAGGTTTTTATATGGATTTGGAATTGTAAATATTATTTTTGAAAACAATTTGTAAACTCTTGCCTTTCATTTTTATTATTGTGGTTATTGAAGAATAATTTTGAAGATTCTCATGTGAACCCTTTTACCGAAATTGAAAAATTTATTTGTAAGTTTTCATTATTACAATATATGTGTTGGGGTAGTAAGGGTGTCACATTTAGTGGTATCAGAGCAGGTCGATCCAATCGGCCGTGAGTTATGAGTCTACTATGCTTATTTGGTAGATAATTGATGGAATGAATTGATTGTGAAATTTGTTGATATGTTAGTGCAATGATTGATTAAGTTTGTTGTTTATTTAATTAGAGTATAATTGTTAACTTTTATGGGGATCAGAAAAGTAATGGCAGGAGGTAGGAACGATTGTGCAATCGCTGATGCTCTACAAGCGATGGCTCAGGCTCTTGGTAATATGAACCAACAACCAGAGGTAGATTGACTGGAGAGGTTCTAGCGAAATAATCCACCAAGCTTCTGTGGGGGTTATAATCCTGATGGAGCTGCTGACTGGATTTTTGAAGTTGAAAAGATATTCCAAGCTATGGGATGTCCTTTGATACAGAAGGTGACTTTGGCTGCCTTCATGCTTTCTGGAGAGGCTGGCATCTGGTGGCAAGGTGCTTTACAAAGAATGATAGCTGCAGGTACCCAAGTGAACTGGGAGAATTTCAAGCGGCTATTCTTGGAGAAATACTTTCCCCGAGATGTGAGACATAAGAAACAGGTGGAATTCCTTGAGTTGAAGCAAGGAGAAAATTCTGTGGCTGAGTATATTACTAAGTTTGAAGACCTGGTTAGATTTTGTCCCATGTATGATGGTGTGGGCAATGAGGAGGACAAATGTGTGAAGTTTGTGAGTGGTCTTCGCCCTGAGATTAAACAAGTTTTCAATTATCAAGGGATCACTCACTATCATGAATTGGTAAACAAGTGCCGAGTATACGATGAGGACAACCTTGCTAGGGTAACTCATTATAAGAGTGGAGGACCCATGAGGAATAATAAGTTTGGTTCATCTAGTAAGAGTAAACCTTACACCAAGTCTGCTGGGGACTCAAGTTCTAAGGTGAATAATCAAGGTTCTGTGCAACAAAGGAGCCAAGCTCCAACGATTAGCCAAAATTCTAGAAGGGGAAGTGTGGGTTCTATTCCACACAACAATTGCTTCAAATGTGGGAAGTCAGGTCATAGGGCAGTTGAGTGTCGGACGCAAAGAGTTATAACATGCTTCAAATGTCAAGCGAAGGGACACAAAGCTAGTCCATGCCCCCAGAATAGGAAAGAAACAACAGACGTTGGAGGGAGCGCTAGCAAACCTAGAGCGACAGGAAGGGTGTTTGCCTTGAGTGGTGTTGAAGCTACTCAATCTGAAAACTTAATCCAGGGTATGTGTTTCATCAATGGAACGCCTCTAATTATTTTGTATGACTCTGGTGCGACTCACTCTTTTATATCACATGCGTGTGTGTCCAAATTAAAATTACCTGTTTCTTCCTTGTGAAATAGAAAGTCTGACCATATATATAAGTTGACCAGACGAAAGGAAAAGTCAACACGTTAATGACAAATGCTCAGACAAAGGTCGAAGTTTTAGCTACATATAGACTACCAGACGTAGACGAAAATTGTCGTTGTCTCGACTTGTCTTCCTTCATTGAAGTGTGGCACCAAGAGTACTCCTTGTACTTCAATCAGTTTTTGGTCCAAGTTCTAGAAGAAAGCTTGAAGGATGGTGAAGCATGGTCCTAGCTTGAAGGAGACTTCAATTGGCCTTAATTGCTTGGTCAAGTGGAGGCTTCTTCCATCATTAATCTCTACGTATATTAATCTAATGTATATATGTGTGCCTCAAATCTTGTTAACTACTCTTTCTTTTCTCATCTATCGTAATTTTCTTCCACATGACTATCCTAGATGTTGGTCCGTGTATATTGGCATTTTTTTTATTGAACGTGTTGTATTCAAGAATAACCTAGATAGTTTGTCCAAGGTTATTCCACCCAACCTTATAGATTGGCTAATCATTTTGTTCAACCTTATAGGTTGGTTAAATCATATTATTTGACCTTATAAGTTGGCTAGTACACAAGCCCCCTAAGTCCTAAATGGAGGAATGAATAGAGAGGCTTTAATGAGATTAAAAATGATTGTCTGATGTATGTTTGTCTATATGCCAAGCTTCCATGATATGTACATGTGTAGATATTTATGATGTTATTGTTAAATGTCAAAAGGTTTTAATGAACGAGTGTACAAATGGGGTTATATCAAGTAAATGAAAAGATGGGTTTTGTTATCATAACCTTGGGTTTAAGTGTTAAATTTATGTTAACCATTGGATTTAAAGCGCTTAAATTCGTGTTGATAATGCATAATTAATACATATTTTAGTATATTAGATTGGGTTTATTTGACATTTAAAAGTGTCTTAAATTTATGAATTTGTTGACATTTATTTTAGTGGACTGTTTTGGTTTCAATTCTAAATTCCAGTTAATTTTCGTAATTTTTGTCCACTTTGACATGTTGTCTTGCGCAGGCCATATTTTGAAGCTCCCAAACTTGGAATCGGACATTATTGGTGTCTTTGGAAAGCTAAGATAGAACTCTACAACTTCTTTGTTGGAAGTTTTACCCAGTTAAAACATTTAAGGGTCCAAAAATGCATGTCAATATTATGCCTCTACACTTCATTTTGGGTTTAGTTTAAGAACTTATTGTATTAGTAGTTCAACCTTGTTAATTAGTTAATTAGTGGGTTGAACCTTATGAATATTCTAATTAGGCTTGTAGACATCTAATTTCATCCGGGGTACAATGACGAAGAGATGAACTTCTATTATGAAGAAAAGGAGCTCCCAAAAGCCCAGAAACAACATGATATGACATCAGATGGCCCAAAGCCCAATAAGGGTAGTTTAGTAGCCTAGAATGGGTCGTTCCCAAACTAGAACAGATCGTTCCAAACTACTTAAAAGGCTTATAAACCCTAGACTGGAACGGGCCATTCCAACATAGGTTGTTATGAGTAAAATTTGAACCTAGAACGGGCCGTTCTAGATTCAAATTTTACCCATAACGGACTGGCCCAGAACGGTCCGCTCTAAATTCGAAACGGGCCATTCTGGTCAGGTTTAACGTCTATAAATAGACGATTCAAGCATTGCCCCAGGACTAGAGGAATTCGTGTAGAACTCCATATATTTCGAAATCTCTTTCCTTCTCTCTCTTTTGTATTTCTTGAGGTCTGTGAGGTACTTGTGTAGTGTGAAAGGTTGCCACAAAGCACCTAAAAATCTTCATATTTGAAGATTCAATAAAGCTCACTCAAGAGGTATTTCGGTCAATTCTTTTCTCTTTCTTCTATTTTTCCTTATTTTAAATAATGTTATAATAAAAACAACCATGTAGATATTTTAGGGTCAATCGAGTAACTTAAATTTAAGCATGTAAATAAATATTAATAAAAGGATCTAATATTTAATTAATTAATTCTTATCAAGTTAACTTCATCATAAGGTACCAATTAATGGAAGGTCATAGAAGCAAGCTTAGTTTTCACCCAAGAGAATCTAAGATGTATCAAGACCTTAGGAAGATATTTTGGTGGCCTAGGATGAAGAAAGATATAGTTGAATATGTGAGTGTCTGTTTAGTGTCAAAAGGCTAAGATAGAACATCAGAAACCTTCAGGACTACTTCAGCCTTTGAGTATACCCGAGTGGAAGTGGGATAGCATTTCTATGGATTTTGTAGTTGCTTTGCCTAGGACTAGGAGAGGGCATGATTCCATTTGGGTTATAGTTGATAGATTGACTAAGAGTGCACATTTCTTACCTATTAACATTAGGTATTCTCTAGAGAGATTGGCTAGACTGTATATTGATGAGATTGTGAGATTGCATGGGATACCATCTAGCATAGTTTCAAACAGAGACCCTAGATTCACCTCTAGGTTTTGGGAGAGCCTACAACGAGCTTTGGGGACCCAACTTAGACTTAGTTCAGCTTACCACCCTCAAACTGATGGTCAGACTGAGAGGACTATTCAATCTTTAGAGGATTTTCTTAGAGCCTGTGTGTTGGACCAAGGGGGTAGTTGGGATAGTCTTTTACCTTTGATAGAGTTTACCTATAATAATAGTTACCACTCTAGTATAGGTATGGCACCTTATGAAGCCTTGTATGGTAGGAGATGTAGGACCCCTTTGTGTTGGTGCGAGCCTGGTGATAATGTTATCTTAGGACCTGAGATTGTGCAACAAACCACTGATAAGGTTAGATTGATACAAGAGAGGATGAGGACAGCTCAGAGTAGACAGAAAAGTTATGCTGACAGGAGAAGGAAGGACTTGGAATTTCAAGAAGGTGACCATGTGTTCTTGAAAGTCACTCCGTGGACTGGGGTTGGCAGGGCATTGAAATCCAGAAAACTTACTCCTCGATTTATTGGTCCTTTCCAAATTCTAAAAAGAGTTGGTAGTGTTGCCTACCAAATTGCTTTGCCTCCTAATCTGTCAAATCTCCATGATGTTTTCGACATTTCCTAACTTCGGTAATACATCCATGATCCTTCGCATGTGATTGAGTCAAATCATCTTGAGGTTAAGGAGAACCTAACTGTGAAAGCTACCTCGGTGAAAGTCGAGGATCGAATGGAGAAGCAACTTAGGGGAAAGGAAATTCCTTTGGTGAAAGTTATCTGGGGAGGAGCTACACCTGAAAGTGCTACTTGGGAGCTAGAAGAGAAGATGAAAGCGTCATATCCATTTTTATTTGCTTCAGGTAATTTCGAGGACAAAATTTTTTAAAAGGAGGGGAGAATTGTAACACCCTAGTTTTTATTTCATTTTTATTTTATTTTATTGAGGGTATTTTGGTAATTTTTATAAATGTATAGGGGTGATTTAGTAGCTTGGAACGAGATGTTCCATAATTAGAACGAGCCGTTCCAAACACCAAAATGTATGTGAGTTAGTAGCCCAGAACAGGCCGTTCTCAAATTAGAATGGCCTGTTCCGGACTAGTAAAAACTACCTTTAACTCTAAGTGGGAACGGGCTTGGAATGGGCCGTTTCCAAAATATGGTCGTTGTGAGTAATAAATGCACACCAGACCGGGCCGTTCTGGTTTGAGAACGGGCCATTCTGGATGTGATTTTTACCCATGATTTAAGGGTCTAGAACGGCCCGTTCCGGCGAAGCCTGATGCCTATAAATTAAGCTCTCTGCCACTCCCAAAAAGCACACCTCTCATTTTCTGATTTCTTTTCTTCTGTTCTCTCTTCTTTCCCTCTACTTTCTGCTTTAGATCGAGGGGAACCCAACGAGGGAGACCAACCAGATCTTGTGTAGGTTCAGCTTCTACATATCCAAGTACAGAGGAAAAGGGAATTATTTATAGTAGAGTTACATGAAGGAATTAGATAGAGGAAGAGTCCCTTAGGATTATGAGTAATTTTACAATTATTTCTGTTTGGAGAATTATTGGTCTTATGTGATTCTGTATGAATTTAGGATTATGAATATATATTTAATATGTAAGAATGATGATTTGGGAGAGAGAATGAAATTACAGAAAAGTGCCTGTAAGTTAGGTTGTGAAAAATTGGATGATTTCTGTTTGAGGAATTGATGATCCTGTTAGATTCTGTATGTGTTGAGGATTATAAATATGCTAATAATTTGTAAGAATGATGATCTGGGAGAGAGAACGAAATTGTAGAAAAGTGCTTGTGAGCTAGGTTTTGGAACAATTGGGGGTTTTATTGTTTATGTTGAAATTATATTAAGTTGATAATTCCGTTGAGTAATATATTAATTTATGAATGTTATTTGTTATATTACTTGATAAAAATTGATGATTTAAATGTGAATTGCTTGATGTGTATGAAACCCATTGTTTTGGACTCATTTGATGTGTGTATGGAATTGAGCTATGAGATGAGATGTATGGATGTGAATATGATTATGATTGTGGTTCCTCACACTAATGACTAGGGATGGCACTGCCCCTGGGTAAGTGATGCTACAGGGAGGGTGTGACCCTGGCATGGTGTGGGATGAGTAAGACAGTTAACACGTATCACTTATGTCAAATATGGCAATCATGGCATAGGGTTAATTGTAATAGATTGTGTGGATTGTGGTTCCTCACATCAATGACCAGGGATGGCACGACCCCTGGGTAAGTGATGCTACAGGGAGGGCGTGACCCTGGCATGGTGTGGGATGAGTGAGGCAATTAACCCGTATCACTTATGTCAGTTGTGGCGTGGCTTTGGCATAGTGTTAATTGTAAGATTGTGTGAATTATGGCTGTGAAAATGATAATTTTAATTGCAAGATTTGAGATGAATGGGTGTGATTGCAAATTATGAAGTGAAAATGATGCATGATTGATAGAGTTATGATATATATAGAAATGCTTGTAAATATTTCATTATGTAATGAGATTACATTATTGTGTGTTTGTATGTTCTTTACATATGGATGTTTTCTTTTCTTACCGTACAAATTGTGGATATTTTAGGTGAGGAAGATCCTGCTACGAGTGGCATCTAGAATGTCAACGGTTGAATTGTGGGTATGCTCTGATATTGTGATATCGGGGCAGAGGATTTTTAGAACATAGGATTTTATATGGATTTGGACTTGTAAATATTATTTTTGAAAACAATTTGTAAACTCTTGCGTTTCATTTTTATTATTGTGGTTATTGAAGAATAATTTTGAAGATTCTTATGTGAACCCTTTTACCGAAATTGAAAAATTTATTTGTAAGTTTTCATTATTACAATATATGTGTTGGGGGGTAGTAAGGGTATCACATCCCACACAAATCCATCAAAGCATATGGATTGAGTTCCCTCACAAATACCACGCTAATTCCTCGCAAAACCTTCACAACATATCTTTTGAGTTTCCTCGCGAATCCTTCGCTAATATCTCGCAAAATCTTCCCAATTTATCTATATATATACATTATTCTCTCACGAATCCCTGTAGATATGTCACTTAATTTGATATTTTAAATAAATCTAAATCAACTACATAATTTTTTTTTCAATTGGACATGATTTAAAATAAAAGTTGCATGTAACAATATCTCTTACAAAACCAAATTGTTAAATGTCTTACAAAATCCAACTTGTGCATACTATCTTAAAGAAACTCAAACTAATCAATGTCTTACAAAAAGAAAAGTCAAATAACGAGTTATCCTAAATAGTAATCAACCTAAACTAGTAAAATCATCATCTCGTCCTTGATCCTCCCTATGTTGGTTGGTTGATGGTGTTTTGATGGTTAAACTGCCTGAATTATTTGTCTCATCATCTCTGGTAATTGTGTTTGTAAAAAAGAGGCCAATGCATTATTTATAACTGTAGTGACCCATTCTTTTGTCATAGGTGTAAGATTTGTAGAGGAACTTGCAACCTCTGGAGATAAAGCTTGGGTAGAGCTACTAGTTCCAAGATCCAAGCTATGTCCCATGCCATGAACTGTTTTCTTCTTGTTTTCACCTGCAGCTTTTAACCAAAGATCATAATCAATTACAGGATGAGATGAAGTGTATTCTCCATATTTTTGTGTCATTGATTC